TCATTCTTAAGATCATTACAGTACTGTTTTGTGTAACTTTCTACAGTGTTTTAGGTTGATCCCAGGATCAACTGCATTACACAGCAATATATAGAATAAGAAGTGAAGAAATATTACTGGGAGAATGCAGGCAGAACACTGCCAGACATATTTAAATATGTCTCACCCAGATTCGCCACTACTCCACTAGGAAAAAAAAAGGAGACAGGTGCTTTTGCATGCCTTGTATACTGTATGTTGTATCGGTGTATTTTTTGGAAAAAATTTTTTTTCTGTGCATCCTTAATTTTTGTTGATTGTTCTGTCCAAAGTCAGTCATATGCATTGCTTTCTACCACGTAACTGCAGTTCCCATTCATCTCTTCCAGTCCTCTCAAACAAACTCCTGAATTACTTGAAATATCAATCCATGATCACAGAGCTCCTTAACCCACTGAAGTATTTTCTGGTCCAGTAATTCCTGTTAATTCCATTGATCCAATATGTCCTCTGAAAACTGAAGCTGCCCACCCTACAAAATTTTGCCACTGCCAAATGTAACAGCTGGAATAATCAATATTTATTTTTTCCTTCTGAAAAAAGGTTCACGCCTTGTTCTCAACAGTCACTAAATCTTTGTCAGTCAAGCATGTGTAGATTCCAGGTTTATTTTATCCCTATCAAGACTTATCAAACTCGAAAAATATTTTTTAAAATGTACTTCTTTTAAAAGGTAGAAATGTAAAAAGACTAAAGAAAAATACTATATTTCATTTTCACATATGATCTTTCTAAGAACTGTTATACATATCTCCACTGTGCTTCAGTTGAATGTGCTTCAGTTATTTGGATGTTGTTTTTCTCTTCTTGATTTAGGAATTAACAGTGTTCCATCCGTGGGCCTGTCAGAATTGTCAATGAAGTAAATTTAATACTGATGTTGGCACTCATGGTTTCCCCAGTTGTGGCCTATCATTGACAGACTGCTTTCGGCTTTCAAGGTTAGAAATTGCTGGCTGTGAACACACTGAAGAAGTTACAGTTTACTGACAGCATCGCCTCTTTTATACCAAGAAAACACTGTTCTCTTGAAAAAGCAGGCCATATTATTTTTTCTGTACTTTTCTTAATTTATAATTGTGTCCAATCAACTTTTTGCCAAGGAACTTTAAATTCATATCCAATATATATATTTCTAAAAAAGTATGCAGTACTATACATGTATAAAGTGTCATTTCTTTTAATTCTCAGTACTGTATACAGTACCACCTTGTATACAAAATACTGTATATTCCAGTTAAACAGATTTCAAAACTCTCTTTACAGGAAAACTGAAGTGTACAGTATATTTGGTATTAGTTTAGCAATTAATTGTTTAAATTATTTTATTTTAATTTTTTTCTTGCTATCCACCTCTTATCCTCTGTCAAAGAAAATTGATGCTTATGTGATGATCTTATACTGTACAGTATATACTGTATAATGATCTTATATAATTTAAAAACATCTCCCGAGAACAATTGACACAGTTAAATATTTGAATGGAAGTAGAACAAGTATAGCTGCTATATTGCCTTTAGTTAAAAAGCTTCCCTAATGGAACTTCAATTAAAGGTGCAATTGTAAAATACTTACTACATTTCCTCCTCAGACAGCTTTAGGAAGTCTTTTCTGTAGCTATTTAATTTAACAGGTAAATAATCTAAATTATGCAAAGGACAGGATCACCCTCCTCTCATCATATCCATGGCAAACAATTATCAACAAGACCTAAAACAACATGCTTCATCACAGGCAAATGTGTCTGCATCTCCTGGAGCTTTCAATGAAAATGCATTCTTGGAAATTATTAAGGTGGGCTAGGCACTTAGCCCAAATTCCTGAAGTCATAATACCCAAGGCATCGTTCACTGATGAGCTGAGGCTGTTGTCTTCAAAATCTATGAGTGTAGTTTGCAGATTAGGCCAAAGAAAATGACATCTCCACTGACACATTGGAACAAAATAAGAAGAAGTGTCACCAATCTTTGAGCTGTCAAGGCCTCAATGCATTTATTGCTTATTTGTAGCAATAATGTAGGAGTCACTTTAAAATACAGCAGATATATCTTGGAGAAAGTAAAAAAAATAAACATGAAATATTTAATTAACATATTTCATAGACTTGGACAACTCAGGTGGCAGAGTGGATAACACATTGGGCTTCTATACAATAACATGGAAAAGTCATTCAAAGGCTTTGGACTTGAGGCAGACCAGAGTCAGAGTCAGGGTTTGTATGTAGAATCCTTGGATCAATTAGCTAATTGCAACCCAATGGGGTGAATGTGCTCCTCTTGTTTATAATCTTTAAGATGTTATCTATACTTTTACATAATGAGCTTTAAACTTGAGTAGATGTTAAAGATTGTTTTTTAATCATACGGTACATCACAGAATGTCCTTGAACACAGGATGTTTTTGTAATGCCAGGCCTGGAGATCACACTTTGTATTTTGAACATTGTTTCAAATGAGGTCTAAACAATTAATCTTAAACTCACATCCATTAAACAAATAATAGTTAATACAATTTAGACTGCTGTCAAGAGTTTGATTATGTAGACATACCGACACCAAACCAGATTATTGATTCTCATGAACCACATTAAAAAACCCTCTTCTTAATCCTAGAAAATCCCTGCATCTTTCTTCCTTGAGATTTTACCATTTGTTGTTTTTTCAGACCACAAGGTGGCATAGTTTATTGCATGATGAACTTTTGAGGTGATGCTGAATTCTGAACAAACATAAAATATTGTTCTAAATATGCCGATTGTGCATTAAAAAAGTAAAAACTAAAAATCATGAGCCACTTAAAACTAGCTTCAAACTGATTTTTAAATGTTTTATCATTGGTTAATATTAGCAATCTTAATATTAACTTGTACATCTTATATGAAGAGAAACTGAAACTTCAGAAAACACCTTGTTTGGGAGTTTACAATATTCTATGAAAAAACTGCTTTTAGTGAACAGGATTCATAGCTAAATAACATTGTCACTATTGTAATTTATCATCAATTTGCCATATGATGGACTTAGTTCTACCTGCTTACAGTACATTAGCAGAGCAAAGCTTTGGTAAGAATAAAAAGAGGGCAGTTTGAAGATCTACAGTATGAAATAATGAATCCATTCAAGTCAGAAAACATTCACTGAATCAGACTAATTCCTGATCACTTTCTTTTGAGGGCTTCTTGCATATTTGAATGTATTGTAATAAAAGTGGACATTACACTTCATTAATTATTTTGATTGAAAATGTAAACCATTTTAGCAAGACTTTGCATATCACAAAAAAAAGAGCTATTCATTGTCTGTGTCAGATTTCACACCTTGTCAAGGAAATACGATTCATGTGAAGGTGTCATTAGCAGTGTTGCTTCAGATTTTGTGTTTTTTCATGATGATGTAGTTCTGCACAACACATGACAACAGCTCTCATTTTGTAAAATGTAAAAAAGATTTGGTTTTATGAAAAAATAATAAATTGTTTTCCTTAATGACACTGGTAAAAGAAGATTTTCATAAAACTGATGGTGGAACAGAAAGGGTTATGAAGTGACACTGCTTTGAAACCTGCTGTACTTCCTGTAGCCCAAGAGATTAAAACAATGTTTTATTACCTTTATGACAGCTTGGAGCACAGACTGGAAGCAGTGAAGCTTGTGACACATTTACAAGCAAATCCAGCATGATGTATTGGTCAAACCATATCCCTTTAACCTGTGTTATTGTCTTGAATTTTTGGTTCAAATCTCATCTGGCTTTAAAATCATCTTTCAACTCTGTCCTTAAGCATACAAAAGGATTAATGCTTAGGAAAAAAAACAAAACATCACATCTTCTCAGATCTATTGCTTTAATTACAGATTAAAGGCTGCCAGAAAAAGCATATAATAGATTAGATATTTGTGGCATAAATCCTAAAACCAAAGTGGGAACAATTTAACTGGGATATTTAATTAGATAAGTATATATATTTGTCTTGATATGGGACCAAGATTGTATGTACTCTCTAAAAGCAGAGCTATGAGGAGAACTCTGGTTCTCCCAACTCTACCTTTGAGTTGCGTTTTGTGCCACATACAGTACATCAAAATAAGACAATTCTCTCTGCGGCAGAGCACATGCGTACTGAGTGCGTTATACTGTAATTATGTTCAATTTCATTAAAAAAAACAGTTTAAGTTTATATATTCAACTTTTATCGTTTGACATTGACATTTTAACCGTAAAGTATAACATATGGGCCTGCAGGGCATTTAAAGATTACCCTACAGGAAGAAGTGGCATCTATTTTCCCCTTTAGAAGCAAGATATAGACCATTTATTCCAACTCGACTGAGAAAGAAAAAACTATACAGTACAACGAGGTCCACCTCACTGAATCATTTGTGTCACAAAATTCTGATGCAGAAGTTCTCTACACGATTATTTGTACGACTTATAACAGGGTGTTGTTAAAGAAGAGTTTTCTGCTTAAAACGCGAAACCAATCCAATATCTGGTGCAATATCTGAAGCAGACTATTAATCGGACAACTCTCCCTAACTGCTTGTGACAAAAATGAAAACTGCACTGTGCAGCTACCATAGTTATACATACAGTACATACTGTATTACATCACTCAAAGTGCAATAATATTTGATCACCATGTTTGCTATTGTGATAATTATTATACCACGTATTCTACGTAGGGTTAATTTCAGGGGTCAGAAAGTAAAGAAGTGCCTTTCTCTACGTCAAGGACGCCTGTACCGACTATAAACTTTCGTCTTCACGGTTCCTAGCAGAACTGTGCCACTAGTTGTTGGCTACGCCCCCAGTAATGATCGACGCATCGACCGTCCATTTCCATCATTCGGCATGTCTGTTCTACCAATAATCATCAGAGGTGGTTCAGCTTTTCTAGGTGGGAGTTCCGTTGCCTGGTGCCGTTTTTTTATTTCTTTAAGGGGGAGGGGGGATAAAGTGAGAGAGATGCTGGAAGGAATCGCAAACTCTTTAGTTACACATACAATATATTCTGTACACTAGACTAAAATACTGTACAGTATGTCAGACTAGATTACTAGAGATAAACCTTAAGATGATTAGATGAGTTAAAGATTGAAAACAACGCATTGTGAAAATGCATTAAATGCCTGCCTATTTTTCAAGGATCTTTTGAGTGTCTTTAAAACATCTAGGCACCGAAGACAAATGTTGTTTAAATGAAATTGCTAACAATACGTCCAACTTCACTTTCCACTGGTATTAAAGCCTATATCACTAGATGATAAATGTACAATACAGTATGTCTGACTGTTGTATTCGACACATTGTAAAGACGTCTTTTTAATGCAATGGATTTATTAAGATGTCAAAAAGCTATCTTTCTTAGCCTAATTGGAAAATGACAGATTAATTGAATCTTAGGAGTGCATTTATTGAGGGTGCTAGAATAAAACGCGCACGTAGCAGAAAAAAAAAACATAAAGGGAGACCTGGAAGGTGCAGTAATCGTCTTACAGAATGACAAAACTGGAGATGCTGGACTCAGTACTACTACGCGCAGGAGTGAAACAGCTGTGGTTTGCAAAGGTGAGGATATGACTGGTCAAAGCCGAAATCAAACGCGAAGTTGAATTCACATCACAGCTGTAGATGGTTTCAGTGCTTGGAGTTCTCTTGATTTCTTAACACGTCAGTGTGTTTTCCTACAGATGTATTGCCGAGATACAATAGACAAGGATACGGACGTCTTACTGTTATGTGGCAGAGCTTGATTAAACTTAAAGGTGAAGATGTATTTGCCTGGATGTATTTTTGAAACTTCCGAACATAAGGACTTATAAAATAATATTATGGCAAAAAGGACCGAACAGAACAGAAGGTAAAGCAAGACAGAAGTATTATTTCGAAACTGATAAAATGCGCTGGTGCACGCGAATGGCCGAAGAAGATTATTTTTGCAGAATACAGTTTTGAATAAAAGTACAGTATAAGTATAATGACCTCATATGGAAGCTCTTTGCTGCGTTGTTTGAAAGGAAATACTTTTAACTGTGACACGTAAACGAAACAACTTAATATGGAATTGGTCCTCAAACACAAGAAGACACCGTGTTTTGTATTCATGCCCATCTTTGGAAATACAAAGTTTCTGCAGTTATGCTGTTTTCATTTGCCTTGCAAGTAGGTTCTTTGGAAAGTATACATTTATATTACGCTTTTCAGAGGCATGTGTAAAGAACTAGTACAGGGTTACTTGGTATACAATATTATTTCAATTCTATGTACAGTAGTAAGACAGTTTCCGAAATCAGTGACATACAGACGAAGAAATGGGCACCCAAAATATCTTTAACTTCATTCGCATTGTGTTAAATCCTAAGTGAAAAAGATGAAATCAACAGATTACGACTATTTTACATCGATGTGACAAACTGTTGCAGTACTCGACAGATAACGCAGCTGTCAGTTTTCTTGAGAAAGTACTCCCAAGTTTTAATTCAGCCTGTTATTCTTCCCTGTTGCTGGCCGTTGCACCATTCAGAAAATATGGTGTCCTAAGGTTATCTTTTAATATATCGATCCAATAAAGATGACTATTAAATGGAACGGTATATGCTTTAAGAGGAATCCTTGATCAGCAACAGATAAGTTGTGGTGAAGACGAGCCATCATTATTCTACTCCCCGAAAGGGGGAAGACTACGGCAGGTGTCTTATAAAAGCAGGTACGAGTCAAAGCTTTACCGTTTATCGCCTACAGTAACAATAGATTTCAACGGCTTATACAGTGGTGCCTTCAAACTTACATGAAATTAGAATTATAAAGTAAATACATTAATCTATGTATAACAACCAATACAAATGCAAGGGAAATAACTTAAGAATAAACTAATATAAGAAACTGTACGATACCCGTACTGTACAGTATATCATTGCCAGAGTCATACGTATTGTAATTGAAATATGTTTAACAGCATTTATGAGGAGTCATACTGTATGTACAGACGGTCCAACAACGGTCAAATTAACACGCAGCCTTAACCTGCGAATTTGTATTCGTTGTGTAAAATTAGCAGTAGTTACTTTAAAGCATTTATACTAAGTTGGTAGTTTTTGCCAATTGTATAACACGACATAAACGTATTTAAGATCACCATATTGACATTAAATTAAAAATTAAGCAAATTGAATGCATTAATTTAAAAAGAAAACTTCTTTAAAAGCCATCATCCTAATATTCTCATCCCAGCTACGTTTACATAATGTACCATTTTAAGTACCCGAAGGTACCACACATTCTCTCATTAACATGCTTAGAGACTAAAAAGCTAAGTATAAAACTGCATAATGTATATATCTAAAAATGAATGTGGTAAAGTGAATGGTTACTGTGTTTTGTGCACGCAGCTACCTAAAGGTACCAACATGCTAACTTTGGGATGAGTGTCTACGCGATGTGTTGAAACTGGACCCCCTGCCTTCTCCTTCTGGCTCCTCTTTTCCCATCACACTCAGTCCCACTGCCCACATGCAGGCCAAGAAGAGATACCTGCTTGTGTCTCTAGGGGCCTGTATTCTACTCCTTGCATACCTTGGGGGATTGCAAATCGGAGAGTTCCATCACCAGCACCATCACCTCTATAAAGCTTCCCACGGACAGAATCAGCTACGGCAGCACTGGCCACAATGGATTAACCCTTTGAATACATACCTAGACAGAGAGGAGCATGGTGAGGATGGTCATCAGCAGCAGGGAAATCTCTCTCCACGAGAGAGACGGGAGGTTAGGAACAACATCTATAAAAGCACCAAGTGCAGGATGGAGACGTGCTTTGACTTCAGCCTCTGCCAAAGTGGTTTCAAGGTGTATGTCTATCCTTTGCAGAAGGGAGAGAAGATATCGGAGAGCTACCAAAAGATTCTGATGGCCATTGAGGAATCCCGGTTTTACACCACAGACCCCCGCCAGGCTTGCCTGTTTGTCCTTAGCATTGACACCCTCGATAGGGATCAGCTCTCATTTCAATACGTTCACAGTATGAAGACCAAAATCCAGGGCCTTCCAATGTGGAACAATGGGAAAAATCACCTGATTTTTAACCTCTATTCCGGAACTTGGCCAGACTACACAGAAGAGTTGGGTTTTGATATTGGGCAGGCCATTTTAGCAAAAGCCAGTATTGATGTGGATAATTTTAGACCCAACTTTGACATTTCAATCCCTTTGTTTTCAAAAGATCACCCTCAGAAAGGAGGGGGGAAAGGTTATTTGACATTCAACAATGTGCCCCCATCAAGGAAATATTTATTAGTTTTTAAAGGGAAAAGATACCTGACTGGTATTGGTTCAGAAACTAGAAATGCTTTATATCATATTCACAATGGGGAAGATATCATTTTATTAACTACTTGCAAGCATGGGAAGGACTGGGAAAAGCATAAGGATGTAAGATGTGACAGAGATAATGAAGAATATTCAAAGTAAGTGCTCCTTTTTCTATGTACAGTCTTTTTAGTGCTTGTCTAATGTGTTCTTAAAAGTAGTTGTTAAAGCGCTGTTTTTTCAGTTTTAATTTTTTTTTTGGTAAACATAGTGGTTACTTTATGCTTGATCAGATAGAAGTTAATGGTTTCTTCCTATAAAACTAATGAAGTATGAAACAAATCCCTAAGTAAAAGAAGACATTAGTGGATGTATGGTTTCAATTGCCTTACTATGCAAAATGTATGTGGGTTTTTTGTATGATGTTGCTTGTGGTTTACTGAAAACTAACTTATGATACTTTTCTTTATGGCACTTTACCTCTGGTATGTAATTCCTCAAAAAAACTAAATTGCAGCACATCTACTTCAATTTTTTATTTTACTTTTGATCATACTCCGTTTTGGACTTTTTAAATAAACTTTTGGAATTAGCCTGTATTATTTGCTAATGTCTGTATACTGTAAGATGATTCTATTGTATCTGTCTGTGTTGCCTGGTTTACAGGCTTTAGTAAAAGTGCTATGACAGAACTATTCACCATAGAGATCATTATTCTGCACCAATATGCTACAAATCATTAATGGACTTAATAGTTGACAATTGAAACATGCTTGTTGTATCCCAGCTTTCAATTAGCACTGAGAAGCTAACTGACATTTTGTAATTAGGAAATGGAATTCTTTCTTGCTAGATTCTAACAGTATCATTGCAAAGACAGCTACTGAATAAAATGTGCTACTTTCATTCAAAATGTATACCCTTCAAGTTCAAGAATAATGACATTGCCCTGCAATGGATTGATTTATCGATTCGGGTTTTGCATAATGCCAACATTAACTTTGTGATGTATTTATTCTGTTGTCTGTGCACAGTTGTGCTTCTTACTTTACAGTCTCCTGCTGAGGAACATTTTGACCTGCTTTTATAGAAGAACCACTAACCTAAATAAAGCAAGGCAACACTGAATAGAAACATGATTTTATTCCAATCTGTTATACTCTGAAAGCCTGCCACTGCTTCATGAGATGCTTTCTGAGACTGTGTATTGTTTTAGTGCGAAATACTTGATATAGAGGGCCTTGCAAAAGCTATTGGTACACAATTCATTCCTCAAATCCTTCACTATATATCTCAACTGAACAGTGTTTGAGTAATCCAGTAATCCTATCCGGACGCAAGTGATGGTTAAATTTTTTCTCATATAACCAGTTACCACATGGGAAACATTGGGATGTCATTGTATTAGACAGCTATAATTTATTTTGTGTGGTGCAGGATTTTATTTCTCTCTATTGTGGTAGGATGAACTTGATTGTCCAAAACAATGTTAACACAAGTAGTGTCTAGTGTTGTAATTCAAAATCACAATTCTGTCTCTATAGTTATTTTGTAAAGTACTGTATATTGTTTTTTTTTTATAAGAAAAGCCTACAGACTAGAACTTTGTGACACCTATGCCTACCTGCGATATATCAAGTAATCCATTTGGAAATGTCTTAATCAAAATGAGGTTTGGGACAAACTTTTATGAAGATACTTGCACCTACAGTAGTATGTTTATAATGTGAACTTATAATAAGTTCAGGAATTCTTGGAACACAGAGAATTGTCTTTTGAGCCACACAGTATGACAGTTGTGTCATGTTGGTATGCATTTTAAGATGGGGAGTGAGCTGAAATGTCACCCACTGTAAAAAAAAAATGTATTACTGTAATTGAATGGAACCCAAGGTTTCAATCATAGGCAATTCATTGTTGAACTGCATTATTGCAGTGTTTGCCAGAACACCAGAAGTGACATTAAAATGTTTTCATTTGAATAACCAGATGCTTTTCAAATACTGTTAAATGACTTTCTGTGCTAAAGCACTGTATAGAAAAAAAATTAAAAACCTGCTTCTTTGCAAATGAGTGCAAGTGCTTCTCATGCACTGCTTTGAAAAGGTTGAGTGTGGTCCATCAGGAAATTTTGTGCACTAAAAAAGAAGTGGTTACTTGAAACCACATTTTTTGAAGCAGGGAGATTGAATCTGTATTTTTATTGTGATGTGGATTTTAAAAATTATGAAAGGATGTGCTGCATCTCCAGAAACAATGTTTTTTTTCTGTTCTCAATTTTTTTTCCCTAATGAAAAAACTACCCTGCTGATACATTGTTCATGACGCACATACTGTTCATACAGTACCTTCTGTGTTGATGCTGTTTCACACACATTGTGAATAATAAAATCCTGATTATTTTGTGTTTATAAAAGTTCACACATTAGCTAAATTCTCGGCAATCGTTTTTAAGCTGTAGATTTTATAGATTTTATAGATTTTACAGTAGTTGAATTATCAGCTTATCAAATATATGTCCTTGCTAACCTGTCACCTTACTGAAGATTACCTGATGCTTGGCTGACACACATAACAACACTTCTCATGAAAGGCCTTCATATTTGAATTTAAATGTCATTTGTTGCCATCTTTGCTAAAATCTGAATTATATCACAGTGTACGGGAAGATTGCACTTCAGTCAATAAATCACTCCTGTTGCCTTATTTGAGAAGATGTAATTTTATTTCACACAATGGCATAGTATTCATTCACTTTTTTTTTTACTAAAAACTTTAAAGTGATTGGTCTTTTGTGTGACATACAGAATTTTTTTCCATCCAAATGATATGTTCAGTAAACAAAAGTATGCCCTTGATTTTTGCCAAGTTTCCCCATGTATCACAGACTTAAATGCCGTCTTTTGAAAAGGATTCCATGGATCGCTGTTTTCAGTAGATACAGTGTTTGTGGCTCTAGTAGTTGAAGATATATCAATTATGGAAGGAGAAGCCAAGTTGATTTTATTTACTGAAAAATAAATGTTGGCTGAGTTCATTCTGTGGCTGTGCTCAGATGGTGTGATCAGCACCATCTTGAAGCTGAATGTTTTCACTGGAACTGTCTGCCAAAGCTGCATGCCTTTTTTGTGACAATAACATCAGGCACAGAAGCAAGAACCCATTCCTTTCTATCATGTAAGAGCAGAGAGCCAGCTCTTACTCAACTTGCTCAACTCAAAGTTGAAAAATAACTCACCTTTCACTTATACATTTAGGGATTACTAGCTTGTGTTTTCATTAAAACCTGTGTAATGCATGAAAAAAAAGGTGATCATATGTCCAAGATAATGTTTTATAGCATTTAAGGCAGCATAGATACAGTATTTCACAGCACAGAGGTTATATCAGGAAATAATGAAAAATGTAGAAAACTTACAAAAGATAATTTTAACTGCTCAATCCCAGGTTGTTATTTAAAATGTCACCTAGTTTACAGGCAGTAATTGTGAAATAACACCATCTGGAAAATCCCATTTTGGAAACTGTCTGGAAATCAAAATAACCCGTGAATTCCTGTTAATTATCATTTGATTCTTTCTCATCGGGGAGAGAGAGGAAGTGAGAAAGGGGTACATTTCAGTGTTACACAAGTTTATGGGCATCATGTATCATCATTTTGTGCCGGACTAGTGTTCAGTGCTAATTTCAAATGAAAAGGATGAAAATGTGAAAATTGAAACAATACTTTGAAATAATTTATTGGAAATGCTGATGAAATAGTTATTTTGTGTTATTGTTCACATTTGTATGAATATACTTTCCAGGGTTTCTACTGTATTAGAGATACATTCTAAATACTCTGGGTGGACAAATGTGGAGTATTCTGTGAGCATGTCAATTTTCTCAATAAAGTGTTTTGTAGTTCATTGCTGTGGAAGTGGGGATTATTGTTCTCTTAGAGGTAATAAAGCAATTACAAGCCACTTTAATGCAGCCTTTCCCAGCAATGTTATGCCTACTTCAAAAATCAATTTAGCTTTTTCAAACTATATGCAATTGGGTTATGCATAAGTATGTCTGGTTTCCGCATGTAGTCATATAGTTTTTGACAGGCAATAACTTAAGTGCCACTTTTTTTTATGAGGAATAAGTGAGAAACAGAGTGAAAAGTAATCTCTTCTCAAAGAGGTATCCTCCCTTTTGTGCTCCTGAGCAACTGTAATATACCCATAGGGTAGCTCAAGACATTTCTTCCTGCTTTTCCATTCAGGTCACCTAAATCTGTGGTGTAAGTAAGTGAGATGGAATGCTCACTGTATTCTTAATCTTCTCGCTGACCATTATGCATTTATCATATGGTAGGTGATAAATGGAACTGCTTCTGAAAATGTAGTGAAACAGGTCGAGTTGTCAGTTATGGTGCTTTCAAAATATCCCTTCTATTGATCTTGGACTGAAATATCACAACATTCACTTGAGGATCCACAACATTCAACGATTCGGGAGCTCTATGCATTTGCTACAACAAACACTACACCTGTCATCAATGAATTTTAATGAAAGAACTAAAATAAAAACAGGATGGAGCACATGCATTTATAATTGCGTATATAGGCAAAGAATGTGTGGTGAAAAGTAAATGATTTTATCACTGCTGGCTTTCAAAACATTTTGAGGGTCTATATATACTGCCCTTTCTTCTGAAACATACAGTAGCCTGTTTGTTTAAACCACTGGGAAAGCTCCTCTTACCACAAAAAAACAGAGCCAGAGGGAGTGGTCTGAATTGTGTGGTATTGTACTTGTACTTGTACTTGTGTGGTATTAACTGTAAATTAATTAGTTAAATAGCTTTTTTAATTATTGTATTTTGCACGTCCCTTTATTTACAAAAATTAGGCTTTCAATTGTATGTTATATTGTGAAACTAATTCACAAGTGCTTCCTGTTATGCAAAGTAAGTATCCAGTAGGATCCATACCAATACTCCTTTTCTTTCATCTAAAATGTAAAATGCAGACAAATACTGTATGTAGAAATGCGAGAAAAGCCAATATTTCTGAAACTCTGGAAGCTGTACAAAACATTGTTTCTTCTGATCTCGATTTTACTGTATTTGCAATCATTGTAATCAAAATCAATCTTCTTCCCACCTTAAATAACCTTCAAAAACCAT